CATGTGAATAGCATGTCACAAGCAATGAACTCTTATTACATTTTTAAAGCAATTTCGCAATACTAATTTTATTAATTGTTTGTTTCATTAAAATCTATATATCAAAGATGCATATGACAAAATAAAACGTCTGTAAATATGAACATTCAACAAACATCAAAGACATGTTCATTTACGTTGAGCCAAGTAGTTTTAATGAAATGTCATATGGAGGTTTCATCTACGCCTACGTGCAACTTGTACTGTAACGTTACGTCAGCATTTCAAGATGTGACTTGGGAAGTTGCCAGTACAACCAGCTGTGTTTACATAGCATTACATAGCATAAAATGCAGTCAAGGACACTATCAACGTTTGTTTACTCCTATGACAAATTTTCTATATTCAATTTAGTATTTTGTAGCTCAGATATATAAGCTCAAGGAAATTACCACTGCATATGACCAACTTTTAAGAAATAACAAACCATAAAATAAGTGACGATGATATGTTTGCATTAGTCCATAAGTCTGCCTTAAGCCTTATTGTAAATCAACATATTTCAAGACCTCGTATTTATTTTTTGGAATACTTTTTCATCTTAACATTGACGCAGTTTGATTTATCTTATCAGCTAAAACATATCATTTTGAGGAAACTTTGCAGAAATAACATGCAACCATAATAATTATGTTGTAATCAATAATAACCTGTTGTTGTTGCTTTTATTCTAGATGTTTAACACAGTGTTTTATCACTTAATCTGAGAAGACGTCACCGTTTAAATCAATTTGTAGAAACATTAATCAACTGTTGTTTTTGTCTGTTATTTACCTGGATAACAGACATTTAGGTATTATTTTCTTATATTCCTTCCTGATATATTTCATTTCTTTTATTGATTTAATTGAAACTACTTAGTGTCAAACTTGCTGCTTGCCAGACATTATAGATAATAAGTACATATTGAGATATAGTAATGAAGAGCAAAGTATCAGAAAATGTTTTAGCATTATCAAATTCATTAAAGAATGCAAGAGCTAAATCTTTAGAAACATCTATAGCTTTTGATTTATTGTATGCCAAGCAAAGGTTTAAGGTTGGCATATGTTGATTTTTGTTCACTTAAACTTCCTGATACAATGGTTTTACTGATGAAAGTATCAGAAAATGTTTAAGCATTATCAAATTCATTAAAGAATGCAAGAGCAAAATCTTTAGAAACATCTATAGCTTTTGATTTATTGTATGCCAAGCAAAGGTTTAAGGTTGGCAAATGTTGATTTTTGTTCACTTAATTCTCTTGAAACAATGGTTTTACTGATTCGGCGAAATGCAACTTTGATAAAAAATCTTACAGAACATGCATTTTAGTATTTTATCGCGCGTTTGTAATAGTGTGTTTATCTTTGACAGCGTTTTAAATTTATTGTATCACACAAATTGACAAATTTATCAAATAACATAAGAACAAATTGTCACCTATAAACACAATTATGACATAATATATTGATGAGCCGAGCCTCGTGTGTAAATAATGATGTTTCTGACAGTTTGTTAAACAAGTTGGAAGTGTATCTTGAAGCATAATTATTATCGTACACGATAAATATATCTAGACAAAGTAGATGGGTTATGCCTTTACTCCTACATAAAAGTGATAATAACTAAAACTGAAATGTATTTTTTACACATGTTTTGATAAACAGAAATATTAGTAAAAACTTTATAAACTGTTTTTCAATCACAACAATTCCTCTTCCACCTTATGACATTTTGTTCATCATGGAGTTTCTGTCATGTTATTTTTTCGTCAAGCTGCTTACAGTAGCGATTTAGGAGTAGTTTGTATATTGATTTGCATACGTTATGTTTCACTCTCTTTCATGCACCGATTCAATCAAACTGTGCCAGCGGTTTTTACAGTTATTATTTTCCTTTTATTTCTCTCGGTGGAATATCCTCCAATCCAGAACTAAATAGAATTTTTTATGAGATTAGTAGCATGGATAATGGGATAATAATTGCGTACCATATTTAAATGCTCTCAGATTGATTTCTGCAACATATTTCAATTGTATTTGTAATTACAGCAATAGTTTGTTATTTTTAACATTTACTTCCTTAAGTTATCTACTTCAATTTAACAAAATCGGCTATTTCTGCGTAGAAATTATACTTAAAACGTAACAGATAAACATAGAAAGTGTGCATAAGAAATTTAACATCTTTCATCAAGGCAAAATGTAAGCTCATCAATCTATGATGCGTTGATAAAATCAATTTTCTAGAGGGTAAAATTGTCAACCAGCTTCAGGATGACACGAGATAACAGCATATTTTCGTATCTCATTGCTGTTTTATGTCATCAAATTAAACGTGTATAAAATAATGTTGCGATAATAAAGTGTAATTTAGTACACACTGTAAGTATGCCCTGCAAAAAAGTGTAGGTTTAAGTAATATCTGCAATATCACATTTCTATTCTATATAGTAACAGAGCACTGAAACGTAAATAAGATATTTCGTATATCTTTAATGATTATACTTAGACAAAGTTTTGTTGTCGATGTCAAAACTTATTCAAAAGAAATTGTTGTTTAAAACAGATTTGATGAAACGACAAACTGATTGCTTCACGCATAAAACTATGAAACATAACTGCCTAAATTGTATTAAGACCCTAAAAAAGTGCAAGAAATATGCATGAATTTCTTTTACGAAAGTCAAAAGCGTTGTAAATGTAAGATACATTAAAACAAAATGAAGACATATTTCAACATTGGACCTTATCCATTGTATCTTAACCCATTACTTCATGAGCATTTTGTGAAAAATGGCTGTTTTCATTGGAAAAATCTCCCCCATTGCCTTTGCAACAACATGCTCAGGCTTAAATTTTCTGTTACCATGGCAACGAGGAGGCATATTAAAATTGCCAAAAATCACTATTTTGCGTTGATTTTTTCCATCAAAATTGATTTCAAAGTGCCGCAACTTCTCAATGGATTGAGATAGAGTCAAATGCTTTTCAGTGTTGGTTACACGTTACCTTATGATCGATCTGGGGGTCATTTTTAGCCTCTCACAAGTCCAAAATTTTCTTGGCGATGAGGGGGACTGCCGCCCCCTTCAAACCTTCCAAACAGAAGGGGGCACATACCCCATCTGGTAACCCCCTGATGTCTATTTAGGTTGGGGGCCGCGCCAAAAAAGTGGTCACTATTTAACAACATTTCTCAAACAAAAACAAGTGTTGGGGGCCTAAATAAGGCATTTTTCACCTTTTGAGACAACAAAAAGGGGGGTGAAAAAAAGGCGTTAAAAGGCGTGTATATCGCGTAATGGGTTAACCATTCAACTGTCCATCTGCTAAGCTCAATATGAGTCTCGGATCTTGGTTCAACTAGTTTGATCTTCTGTTGGGTCGAAATTTCTTTGTAACAATTGATTTAAGACATTGACTCTGATAGACATTGTCTCTCACAGCTGATTCATGATCATGTGTGATTAGTAGTCAATCGCCTGTAGAGAATTCGTAATTACTGATTAGTTATCAAGGAAAACACTATCGAAATATGACAAAATATTTGTTATTCTAACACCGCCCGCATTTGTCCCTATTGAACATAGAAGAACCGAAATTGTGTATAACTATGCAACAAAGTCACTGTTGACGTTCTATATTTAGACTTATGACGTAATCATTATATACATGTGAAGTAACCACTAAAAATGCGACGCGCTGAAAAAAGTACGGAAACAAATATAGCTTATTATCAGATACGTATGGAAGCACTGGAGGGCCCTTTTGTATGGAAGCATAAACCTGCCATTTTTACTTGTGTCTTATGACTTTTGACTTGTGACTTATGACTTTTGACTTGTGACTTTTAACTTGTCTGTTGAACATGATAATTCGGCGTATTTTGAATGAAATATGGCAGACAACGAGTTTTACATAGATTATTTTTGTTCATTGAATTGTATCAGTTAATTTTAATATAATCTACGTTTTAAGTACTTTTCTCGATTTGTTATAGATTGCGTTTGTTTAATTTTAATGTGGTGACAGTGCGTCTGATCATCTTTCCTATAAAGTACCTATGAGAGTGTAACCTTTAGTTAACTATTGCTAAACAGATTAAGATAAATTTCTTCACAATGTGCATTCCAAGTTATAGATATTATAGCATAAAATCGGCTATTTTCGCCTTTTTTGCCCATGCGTTAACGGGGTCAAAACCGTGTGTTAACAAGGGCACGCGCACTTGTTATAGCCCGGTTTTACCTATGCGCAAAAAATTATACAGGGCCCTGTAAACAAAAACAAAAATGGAGGCAGAGAAATTTTGTATCATCGACAAAATTAATGAATGGCCTTGTCCCCAATATGTTATCAAATCAAAACATACTGGAGAGGTTTTGAGGGCATTTCGTCATCAACTGTTCCGCCCACAGACGCCGGAGCGACTGATCCAACCAGGTAGATATTTAAGTATTTTATCAATAATTTCTTTTCCGTTAGGTTAACATTTTTTCATGTATTTAATATATGCATTCGTATAAATTATTTGTTGATTCTATTCATGTGAAACGTTGAAATATTGCAATCTGGACAGCAAAATAAGTAAACAACGCAACGTGCATTTTCGGTACTTTCCGTATGCCTCGTTTTCTTTCGTAATGTTTACTTCATTGAGTAATTATACATGAAATCTATTACACCGATACTTGTTTTGATTTGTACACATACTTTTTATATAATCTTATTTTTGCAGTCACATCGACCCTACTGCAACTGAGCTGTTTTTAGAGAAATAGAACCAAATGTGCTGCAAGAAATCTTAAATGATGCTTTTGTATGTAATAGTAAATTAAACTAAAACAATTGAATAGAATAAAATAACTTTTATTTCCAATCAAGAGTCATGTTAAATGACATGTGAATCACAAAAATAATAAAGAGATTAAAGATCGAATAAAGACTTAAAGAAACTAAAACTTGATTTGTATATAATAGTAACAACAATAAACTTAAAGAAAAAAAACAATACAAACAAACACAGTAAATAACAGCTAACAATAAAGTAATTGGTATAATATATGTACTGTATCTTTTAAGTATTTACAAGCCTGTGACTTTGTTTCTTTCTTAATTTGACATGCTTGGCAACCGTAATAATAAAGCACAAATTTTTGTTTAACCCTATTTATTCCAGTTTCTAAGGTTAGCAAGAACTAATATAATATAAGAGTCCAAGCCGGGATTCAACACTTGTCTCTTAAATAACAGTGAAATCACAAACCATGTCACTAAATAGCTATTCCTACATTAAGTCTGTTATAAATTTCAATATATATGCATCTTATAAACTTTCACAGATAATTGGTCTGATGACAATGTAAATAGTAAAGATGACAATGTAAATAGTAAAAAAGACAACTCCTCTGATTTGGATGATGAAGAGCTTGACAGGCTAGATATAGAGGCAAAGTGTGCTAACACAGAGCAATCTGAAAGATGGGCATTCAAGAAATTGACAGGTATTAAAATTAAACTGAAAAAAGAATACCTTGACAAAAATTATACTATAGAAATTCTCAATTAAAGTAACAGAAAAGTTTAAGAATGTTAGTCCACAATTGAAAACTTTTAATATTGAGTATATAAGACATATTATATACAGCTGTATTTTTTAAAAATAAACATTTTTAAATGAAATATGAGCATTTTCATACCAAAATAGTTTCATATTTAAAGCAAACTCTTGAATTTACTGTACATTATAGCTTTTTTTTTTTTTCCTGACATTATAATTTGAAAGATTTCCATTTGAAATTTTATGTACAGGCTATATTAAGAAGTACCGGTACATTGAAAAATAACTTTGAACAGTGACAATACGGAAAATACATTTCAATACAGTGAAAAATAAATCCATACAGTGACAATACGGAAAATGAAAATGCATATTTTATTACATTAATATTTTTCAGTATCTTTTTTTTTAAATATAAATATAAAATAAACATTATTAATATTTAATATGTGACAAATAGAGGATGTTCAAGTATTTTCTATAAAACAGGATTTATTTTCATATGTGGTGTGAAATGAATATTTACAGCCATGAGTGATATATGATAATTTTCATAGCACATGATGAAAATAAATCCTGTATTTATAGAAAAAATTTAATTTTCTGTTTATCATATTCATTTATCCCTTTTTGACATTACAATTTGAAAGACTTCCTTTTTAATTTTGTTTATTGGCTGAATTTAGAAGAAAGTCCTTCAAGAAACCATTGAAAAAATGGAAAATATGTTTCACTGCAGTGTAATATAAAATTTTACTGTGCAAATATTTCATTTATAAATATATAACAAAAGCATATTTTTTTCAGATTACATCAGGAAGAGAAACATGATTTTAGATTTTCACAATATTACACCTGAAGATCTTGGTAAAACACTAAGAAAATTTTACGCTGAAATTAAAACAAAGGACGGTAAAAAGTTTGCTCCAGGCAGCCTACGTGGAATAAGAGCAGGAATCCACCGAGCTCTGACTTCCCCACCATTCAACAGAAACTTCAATATTTTAGTTGATAAAGAATTTATTTTAGCAAATAAAATGATAGATAATATGTGCAAAACTTATATAAATGCCAGAAATGAAAAGCCCGCCCACTATCCGGCTATTGCAGAAGGTGACCTTTTTAAACTTTCAAGCTATCTTGCTAAATACCAAGAATCCCCTGAAATTTTGTTCCACTGTTTTTTGGTTTTTATTATGCTACTTGTTTGCCAGACGTGGGAGGAAAGGGTTTTAGGGATATGACCAGGAATACCTTCCAAGTTAAAACCGATGACCTTGGTTATGAGTATCTAGTTATGGCAACTACCGAGAAAACCAAAAATTGGCAAGGGGGAAGTAGTTCCAAAGCATGGGACTATAGTGATGTAAGGGCATATGGGTTAGAGGTCAATAATTGTCATCTCAGTATTGTTAAGGGTGTACAACTTTTATATTTCCAAATTAAATCCTAGAAATGAGGCCTTATTTCAACGGCCAATACTAAGTCCTAAATTTATAGAAAGTCCATACTGGTTCACTGAACAAGTTATAGGTAAAAACAAACTTGCTGAAGTAATGAAGTCAATTTCAACAAGTGCTGGTCTTTCACAAATTTATACAAACCATTCTGTTCGTGCAACAGCCATAACAGTTCTGTACCAGAGTGGTGTAGATACCAAGCAAATATGCAAATTAACAAAGCACAAAAATGAAGAAAGTCTAAAGCATTATATTGATGGTCAAACCTCTGACCAAAAAAAGCAGTGTGCTAATGTTTTGTCCGGGGCACTTTCCAGATCAAATGTCAGTGACCAAGTTATCAAAACCAATTCTGTAGCTGTTCCAGAAAGTGAAAACTGATGTACCACTACCAGTAGTTTCTAGTGTCTCGGGTCAGGATTCGAACACATCTGAAAGAAAACAATCCACTGTTGCGCAAAGTTCGATTAATGTCAATGAAAATATGCAAAACATAATGATGCCTTTTGCTGGTCCCCAACATTTTTACATTCAATGTTTCAGGAGGAGCTTGTCATTTTCATTTTCATTACGACTCACAGAAAGATGCAAGAAATTGATAAATTGTTAAAAAAATGACAATTTATATGTAAGACATGATACACATTTGTTTGTTGCAGCAGATATCAATTAATTTTTTAAATTTTTAATTAAAAAGTCTGCATTTTTTTTGTTTAACTTTAAAAACTCTTGCTTCTTGTTTTTAAGTTACAATGTCTGCAGAGTTTTTAGGAATAGTTAGTAGCCTAGCCCGGTACGGCTTTAAAAGACAAGCACTTGTTGAAATTAACTTTATTACTACATGTTTAATATATAGAGGATATTAAATTTAAATAAGTGTACTTTTATACTAATTTATTGAACGTGTACGGCTCGTGAAAATATGTGGAATTTTATCATGTTTCGTGAAAATATATACCATATTTCACGAAAAACAAAAAAAAACCTTTTATTTAATTTCATTATCAAAGAAAATGCTTGGCTTCCAACTGCAATTGTACAGCGCGCAGTTAATTATGCGTAAGCTCAAGAAAAAGTTGTTTTGTATTTATCAGATTTTTCAAACAAAACGGCGAAAGAAGTCCCATAAAATAAATATGAGTTTTGACTCTGCCACTTTCATATTTATATTTTTCATATGTTTATAAGTTCACTTCAGACCTTATAAATGAATAAAGTATTGTCATAACATAAACTGTATGTGAATAGTCAAGGAATGAGGAAATGATAAATTGGACATATTCTTATTGCCCATATTGGAATGTAAATAAGACTCAGCAAAATAAAATAAAAATACATTACAGTACATGTTTGATAAATAAATTATTTATTGTGCCTTGAATTGTTAATTAATTTGTAAAAATTTACATGTTGTAATGATTAATGAAATAAAATTATACATGTAGTATGAATCTACTTCCAGAACTGAAACTTCAATGTCTTCATTTGTTTTTTCACTCTTTCATTATCTCAGTGTGTCCATCATTGTTTCCTTCACATAAATGGTTTTCACCAACATGAACAGTTTAACAGTCTATTATTTTTTCTTCAGGTTTCAGTCAGAAAATACAAATGAAACATCATTAATTTCAGTGTCTCAAAGGAATCTACCGGTATAAGCCTATTTTGTTTCCACGAACTGTATACCGTTATCCATTTATAAATTATCAGCTGCATCCGTTTTGACTTTTTGGTGCGGTACACAACGTGTGACGATGCACGAGGCCTAAGAAAAGCGACCCATAAAAAGGCTACATTGTCCTTACGCCTATCAACTTTTTGTCAATTTCAATACAAAACACTGCTTTAATTCCATCATAATTGTTAAAGTATGCCATGAGGCTGAGCTTTTTTCATAAAACTATTAAAATTCGACATTTCTTTCGGCGCCGACCTTTTCTATTTCTCAAGTTGTTGGCCCCGAAAAATTAAACGCATATGTAAAACTTGTTGTCAAAGCGACGTGCGAATTGGATAAATACCGTCGAAGCGCAACCGTTTTCCCCGGTATTTATGAATTTGTTTTGAATAAAAAATATGAATCTGGTTAAAAAATTTATGCTATAATGGCGTCAACGCACGTTTTTCCGTGTTATAACGTCTGCAGAGTCCCTCGGAACTGTTGGAGCCCTCGCCCTACCGGGCTCGGGCACCAACCGTTCCTCGGGACTCTGCAGACGTTATAACACGGAAAAACGTGCGTTAACCCTATATTCATGTAATTAAGCTTTGGGTGTGTAGTTTTTTCTTCAAACGTACACACTGCATACAACTTATTTAAAACAACATTTATTTTACATGTAGTAACATAAGCTTATGCTATGCACCGACATTTAATTTGTTATCGTTGTTGTTTGTCATTGTTTGATCATCGTATGTAGTTTAATAATAATTGAACAACTTTTTGGATTTTATGTTGATTGTGATATGAAGTAAATATCAGCAAAATCTTAGTAAAGAGGAGAGCCAATGGTATATGTCCTTATTTTGGAAAGAAGGGAGGTGTAGTTGTATGGGTCGTTGTAAGGTCCAATTAAACGAGGGTAGTTCGAAAAGTGTTGTAACTTGACTTTTTTATGGAAAACTATTAGAGAATGAGATGTTATATAAAGTTTTATTGCATTTGCTAGTCATTTATCTTCGTGCTTTACAACATATAATATTGCGAAAATCAATACACGATGCATATCAGCAATTTATATCAGTAGTGGGTATGGTTTATATACTGGGCAAAAAATCGAAACGTTATCTGCAAGATTTAAGAAAGAAAAAAATACGTAGTCTTCAACAGAAAGAACATTCATTAATGTGCAAAACAAATCTTTATAATATCTTTATTGGTTTTCCAGAAAAAGGTCATGACTGTGGCAATAATTTTCGAACATCCCTTGCTTTGTTTATGTGTTCCTTCTATAGTTTAAAAAAATGAAACAATTAGCTTCAGAAATAAAAGTGAAATCTTTGAGGTCTTTTTCTTTGCAATCAAAAACACCTTTGCATGTACCTCATTGAGGAAGTTGCATGCCAATGTGAGACATACTACTGCCCATGATGCCGTGCCAACATGACACAAAAATGCACCACAATTTGACAATTCATGAATTGGCCTCTGAGACCTTTGCCATAGAAAGAGGGACCTGGACGTGCAGCACAATTTCTATTTATATTGGAAATTTGGCTAGGCTATTTGAACTCCATCATCATTTACTCCTTAAACAAAATGTTTTTACAAATGTTTGATTTCTAAGTGTGACATTGACCTTGAAGCGAGAACTTTTGTGAAAAAAG